CACATGTACATAGAGATCAAATTAGAAAGGCCAAGGCACAAAACGAGATTAAACTAGCTAGAGACATAAAGGGTAACAAGAAAACATTCTACAAATACATTAGAAGCACGAGGAAGACTAAGGACAGGACAGGCCCATTACTCAATGGGGTGGGAAAGACAATAACAGAACATATGGGAATGGGAAAAGTGTTAAATGCCTCTTTTGTTTCAGTTTTCACCAAAAAAAGGTTAGTAGCGATTGGATATCTAACATAGTGAACGCCAATGAAAATGAGGTAGGATCTGAGACTAAAATAGGGAAAGAACAAGTTAAAAATTACTTAGACAAGTTAGATGTTTTCAAGTCACCAGGGCCTGATGAAATACATCCTAGAATACTCAAGGACCTGACTGAGGAGATGTCTGAGCCATTAGCGATTATCTTCAAAACTCATGCAATACGGGAAAGATTCCAGAGGACTGGAAGAGGGCCGATACAGTGCTAATCTATAAAAAGGGGAATAAGGGCAACCCAGGGAATTACAAACCAGTCAGCTTAACTTCAATACCTGGAAAGATAATGGAGCAAATAATTAAGCAATCAATTTGCAAACACCTAGAAGATAATAAGGTGATAAGTAACAGTCAGCATGTATTTGTCAAGAACAAATCACGTCAAACCAACCTAACAGCTTTGTGGATGGGGGAAAGCAGTAGATGTGGTATATCTTGACTTTAATACGGCTTTTGATACTGTCTTGCATGACCTTCTCATAAACAAAGTAGGGAAATACAACCTAGGTGGAGCTACTATAAGGTGGGTGCATAACTGTTTGAAAACCATTCCTAGAGAGTAATCATCAGTGGTTCACAGTCAAGCTCGAAGGGCATATCGAATGGGGTCCCACAGAGATCAGTCTGGGGTCCAGTTCTGTTCAATATCTTCATCAATGATTTAGATAATAGCATAGAGTGTACATTTATACGTATGCAGACGATGCCAAGCGGGGAGGGGTTGAAAGTGTTTAGGAGGATAGGATTAAAATGATTTGGACAAACTGAAGAAATGGTCTGAAGTAAACAGGATTAAATTAAATAAGGACAAATGTAAAGTACTCCACTTAGGATGGAACCCACCAGTTGCACACATACAAAATGGGAAATGACTGCCAGGGAGTAGTGCAGACAGGGATGTGGAGGTTACATTGGATCACAAGCTAAATGAGAGTCAATAGTGTAACACTGTTGCAAAAAAAGCGAACGTCATTCTGGGATGTATTAGCAGGAGTCTTGTAAGCAAAACATGAGAAGTAATTCTTCCGCTCTATTCCATGCTGAGAAGGCCTCAACTGGAGTATTTTGTCCAGTTCTGGGAGCCACATTTCAGGAAAGATGTGGACAAATTGAAGAAAGTTCAGAGAAGAGCAACAAAAATGATTAAAGGTCTAGAAAACATGACATGAAGTCTTCTTCAATTATTATCAATATTAATTATTTCTATTACACCAGTCAGGGCCCCACTGTGTCAGGCACTATACAATATATAGGAGACATCCCCTGCCCAGTAGCACGTACAGTTTGAGGCCCTGTCTACATTGGGAGTTTTGTACCAGTGTAGCTACCATGATGTAGTTACACCAGTGCAAACCCCTAGTGTACATGCACTGCACCACTGTAATCGTGACTTGTCCATAGGGAGCAAAAGTTGTTCCCATTACATGGGCTGTGGGAACTGAGCAGATGGTATTAATCCATTTCCTGCTGGACAAATGACCACAACAGTTTATACTAATTACAGCCCTTCTTGGCAGTCTCCAGAGTGTAGGCACTTAGTTACTTGGAGACTGAACTCTCCTTGTCATTCTCGAGACGGGCCCCACCATCAGAAATGGTGGGGAAGTTTGCATTTCAGACATCTGTTCTGTAGTCAGAGAACCTCAGTCTTCAGGGCTGGCAAGCTGACCCCTTTCACGCGCAGTAAATTCACTAAAGGACTGACCTTTTGCTTCAGACTCCTCTGGAATAAAAATAAATCTTTTTGATGCAAAATTTTGGTATTCTATTCCACATTCTATTCCACGTTCTCAACAAAACATATTTTTAATCTGTGTTCTTCAGAGCAAATTTTGCCTGTTTAAACTGGCCCATGATCATTCCGTTCATTATTGTATCATGAATTCAACAACTTCACTGCCTGCGACCTTGCCAGAGACAAGGGCTGATGATTCTGCATAAACCATTTGCTGCTGCTAACCAGTGTCACATCCAGAGCCTGCAGTTTGCATGGTGTGCCTCCTGACAGTAATGGGTTATTTATTTACATATAAAGGCATCAGTCCTGCTGACAAATGAAGGCACTCTGCTCATTTTTAGTAACCAAAAATTAATATTTTGCTTTAATTGGGTAACCTACAATAAAGCTTTTCAGCCAAGTGTAGTAGCCACATGTGGGTTTGAATAAAATAGATTCAGTAATCTCAGATCAGCCTCCAAGGCAGTGTGACAATTATTAGAGTATTGTTTAGTTAGAATTAACTAGCAGTTGACATAGATCTCTGCAGTAGATGAAGCTATGAACAAACACTTACTCCCAATATACACTGGCTGTATATCTTAACAATACTGGAATCTGACTGTCCTATGCATCCCAATTTCCAGCTGCAGCAGAGAGGCTCCTCTTCAATTTTGCATGCAGCAATGGCGACACCTAATGGTGGAAACATTTTTTTCAGCTGTGCAATCCCCAGAGCGTTTGCCTTTCAAGCCATACGTCTAGTAGTTAAACAGAGAGCTACAACTTTACTGAGCTACTAAAGAATCCACTCCAGCACTCCCTCCATCCCTCTCTCTTTCTCTCCTGTCACTAAGTAGTAAGTTAATCAGACTGAAATGTTTGGGGTTCAGGTGAAGCCCAGGGAACAATCATGCAGTTTCATTCTTAATTTAATTCTTTCGGATTTACAATGGATATGTGCATTCCAGGTTGGTTTAGATTTAGTCTGAGGTTTAAAGTCATCATAGCAGCTATTCAGAGCAGGGACTGTCCTGCCTAAGCAAAGTGTCAACTTGCACTACTGTGAATAATCCCTGAGGGAGTGCTTCTAAAGAGTGCACAAAAAAAGTTTCTCTAGATCTCGCTGGCTTGTGCTAGAATGTGTATAACATAGAGGTGAAAACTTTCTTTGGAGATTCCTGACTGATATTCGTGAGCTCTGATGCATTTACAGTGGCTTTGATACTCAAGGAAGATTTTCAGGAGCATATTAAGGCATACGCCATAAGTAATAAACACTCATTTACAGAAAGAATTTGCTTATTTACAAGCAAATATTCCCTTTTTACTGGAGTTATAAAATGCTAAAATATTATTTTGGCATTAATACAACAAATGAAATATTTAAACAGTTAAAGGCTCTGCACATAATACTTAGGTGAAATTTCTGGTATCTTTTTGTTCACCTGTGTCTTTCTAGGAACCTACATCTTACATTAAGGGTCCATTGTGATGAACTGCTGATAGGGTGACCAGACAGTAAGTGTGAAAAATCGGGACGGGGGTGGGGGGTAATAGGAACCTATATAAGAAAAAGACCCCAAAATTGGGACTGTCCCTATAAAATCGGGACGTCTGGTCACCCTGACTGCTGAACACCCTCAAACTTCCACTGGGTTTGTCTTAACTAGGAAAAGTGTCTTGAGTTTCGGATGTGTTTTGCCAACACATTAGCTAAACCAAACCTAAACTTGACCTTTTTTCCTAGTGCAGATTCAGGGTGACACTGTTAGCTTAATTTTAGCTTATCTGTTATCATGCATCTACACTAGGAAAAGCATCAATTTAGCTCATGTTAGCTAAGCCTGACCTAAACTTGACAGCTTTTTCTAGACACGACATACCAACCAACTTTAATAGGAGTCGAAGGTACTCAGTACCTTAGTGATATTTTTAAATACCATATCTCAGAGATTATATCCGATTTCATTTGGAGCACATAGTGTACAGAGCACTGGATCTTTAGCTAAATGACCACACACACACAAAAAAAAATTACTTCCCATGTATCACTAACTGCTTACCAAAATACACACTTGGTCAGTCTACTTTCTCTTTGCATTATATTGGTGTGTAATTTAATCATTCACCTGCATGACAATCGACTGGAGGAAAATACAGACAAAGATATTTCAAACACCTTAGAACAGCCATACTGAGTCAGACCAATGGTCCATCTAGCCTAATATCCTGTCTCTGACAGTGGGCAGTGCCAGATGCTTCTAAGGGAATTAATAGAACAGGGTAATTTTGAGTGATCCATCCCCTGCAGTCCAGTCCCAGCTTCCAGCAGCTGGAGGTGTAGGGCTACCCAGAGCATGGGATTGCATCCCTGACCAGCTTGGCTAATAGCCATTGATGGACCTATCTTCCATGAAGTTATCTAATTCTTTTTTGAACCCAGTAACTTTTGGCCTTCACATGGCAATGAGTTGCACAGATTGACTGTACTTCCTTTTTTCTTTTCAACTTTCCCTTACGGTACTTGTTGACTATCGGTCTCGTGCCAGTATTTAGCCTTAGATGGAGTTTACCACCAGCTTTGGGCTGCATTCCCAAGCAACCCGACTCCAAGAAGACCCTCTCCCTCGGCCCCGGGATGCGGCGAGAGCTGCTGCCTGGGGGCTGTAACACTCCCTGCCGTGAAGCAGCGAGCCACCTGCCCACCAGGCCTTCCCAGCCGTACTTCCTTTTGTTTCTTTTAAACTTATGTATTGAATAAACCCAAATTGTCAAAGGTTTTGTTTTATCTCAATGGTTACATTGTAGAAACAAAGCTAATATAACACTTTGAAAATGTTTTACTTAACATTACAAAATAGATACGAGGAAGGAAAACAAACAAACAAACAAAACCCCTTACAAATCGCCTAACCATGCAATTTTTCGTTGTCTTCAGACTTAATTTAATTGCCATTAGGCAGGGTAACAGTCCCACTTGCAATAACTTAATCATTCTAACCTACCTTTCTTACATCTGAGCTCTTTGGTTCTGTTGTCCAAGTTATGATTCTAGATACAGCAAGTCTGGTCTCACTGGAGTTCACAAAGTCTGTTGGGTCCATCTGTCTTGCCAGGGACTCAATGTACTTCAGGATTGCAACTTTTACCTAAGAAATGTAAAAGTATATTGTCATCCTTTGTTGGAGAGATGATGGAAGGTGGACATCGCTCAGAACTATCCTGTGCCAAACATAAAACTTGCAAGCTCATCTCTGCTCTATAATGAGCCATAATGAAAAAGAAATATGAATTGGACAATCTTACAGCTCATTGGACAGGTCTAGACCACCATCCTGCATGTAAATGAGTAATGAAGACAGAGTACCCTTCTGAAAATCTATTAGAAAGGTATACATAGTTTTATGGAAAACTCCTGTAGAATTTAATAGGGACTAAACTATAGGGTTTTACAGAAATTACTCTAAAAACCTATAGAATTTAATAGAGGATCTATAGAATTCTGTAAATAGAATACAATTAAATTGTATAGGATTGTGCAAGACACCAATAGGAAAGTTATAATTTTCTCACAAATTAGATAGGATTTTTACAAAAGGATATGAGCTGGTAAAAAGTAAAAGTTATTTCTTCACCTATTCCATAAAACGTATTTGCGTATCATATTTCAGAAACAAAAGGAACCTTCTACCTATACTGACTGCTTGAGAGGCTGCAGCCTAGCAGTCTCATGTATATTGTAGCATTGTCCATCTGGGTAAAAACTTTGGACTCCTGCCTTAATTAAGATTTTTTTAAATGCCCACGGTTGGGTTTCCAGTAGGCTCTGAATTCCTACTGATGGCAACAGTGTTCTCCCTCCCTTTCATAAGACACCTTTTGCACTACTGCATGCATCTGGAAAACAAAGAATACATGATTCCTGGAGTTTCTGAAGTTCATTCACCTTTGAAGTAGCCACCTTGCATAGAACTCTCTACACACACCCTATATAGCCCAAACATATTCCTTTGATGGAATGTAGTATCTCAGATAACAAAACAAATCTCAGTCTAATGTTTCTCCTCCAGACCATATTACCTCTGTCCCAAAGAGACCCATTTATATCATGGTTGGAATTAACAAGAACCATCTGCCAGGAAGACAGGAAACCTACATTCCTATGAAAGCTCCTAGAACCTGCCACCTTCCTTCTGTTTTGGGACCTTAATAGGTTGATTGTGTTCCTGGATAAATTTTTTAAAGCACTTAAGTGACAAAGGATAATACATCCCATCTTCCAAAATGACTTAGGCATTTAGGAAGCCGAAGCACCATTGATTTCCTAGTGAGATTTTCAAAAACAGCTTGATTTCAATGGGAATTTAAAACCCCCACTAGGTGTAGGGTTGCCAACTGTCTAATTGCACAAACCCAAACCCCCTTGCCTTGCCTTTGCCCCTCCCCTCCCTGAGGCCATGCCCCTGCCCCCCCCCTCCGAGGTCCCACCACCTGCTCACTCCATCCCCCCCCTTCCTCCATTGCTCGCTCTCTGCCCCCCCCCCCACACTCACTTTCATCGGGCTGGGACAGGGGGTTGGGGTGCAGTAGGGGTGGCTCTCAGAGGCAACTGGCATGTCCAGCTTCTAGGCTCAGGGGCAGCCAAGCGGCTCTGCGCACTGCCCCTGCCTTCAGGCACTGCCCCCCGCAGCTCCCATTGGCCATGGTTCCTGGCCAATGGGAGCTGTGGAGTTAGCGCTCGGGGCGGGGGCAGCATGCAGACACCCCTTGGCTGCCCCCGTGCCAAGGAGCCAGAGAGATGTGCCAGTCGCTTTTGGGAGCCGTGCAGAGCCAGGGCAGGTAGGGAACCTGCCTTAACCCCTCTGTGCTGACTGCACTTTTAGCGGCCTATTAAAATCTCCCAGATTGGTTTCAGTAGCCATTGGGAGATCGATTCCAATTCCGGGAGACTCCCGGCCAATCCAGGAAGGTTGGCAACTTTAACTAGGTGCCTATCTGCATGGGATAGCTCAGTGGTTTGAGCATTGGCCTGCTAATCCCAGGGTTATGAGCTCAATCCTTGAGGGGGCCATTTAGGGATTTGGGGCAAAAATCTGTCTGGAGATTGGTCCTGCTTTGAGCAGGGGGTTGGACTAGATGACCTCCTGAGGTCCCTTCCAACCCTGATATTCTATGATAAATCTTTAGGTGCCTAAATACCTTATAGAATCTGGCCCTTCTACATTTAGCCTAAGTCAGTTTTGAAAATGGATCTTAGGCATTTTTGAAAATTTTACCAAAAGGTATTCGTACATACAAAATATTGCAAAATACATCAAAAGTATTGTTATTTATAAGTGTCATATTATACATGTGCTTTCAAGTAGTTATTTTTCCTGTGAATATTAGATACTCAAGTATGATCAAGTGTTTTAAAACACATCCTGAGATTTAAATGGACCATGTTTATGTTGCAATGCAAAGGTTTTCATTGCTTACCTTGAGGTTTGGTGTTTGGGTCTGATCTACAATAAATCTCATCAAAATGTTAAACTGCTGATCAAACGGAAAAGAATCCCTGTTCAGAGAGAGGAAAAAAGATTTCCATTATTATTAGAACAAACTCATTTTAATACATTTAAACTTACAGAAAAAATTACTAAAGAATCACAGAAATAGCCTTTAAATATTAAAACATTCTGTAAACTTCACCTGTGTTTGACCAGCTACCAAATGGGTTGAATACCACAAATGTATAAGTGTTGAATGAATTATTCATTAACACTGGTGAAATCTGTCAAATCAATATATTCACAGACAACTACTCAGCCTGTATTATGTACATCCTTCCTGTTTTTGTTACCCCTGTTCTTCCTTTCCCTACTTTATGTTGCTCTTTCATTTTCTAATCTATAGCAGATCATGGTTTATCTTTTCCTGAGTTAGCTTCAGTGTTTGATTCCTCTTTTCTTTCCCTCTCTCATCTCCTTCTCTTCAAGTGGATTTTAAAAGCCCTATACAAATTAACCTTTCATGGTGCCACCTCTACCAGAGTGTGAAAATGTGGTACATGTGACATCCTTGGCTAGAATGCTATAGTGGATTGAATATGCATGCTAGGAGGCAGGAACACCTGAGTTCTTATCCTCACTTTGCTACTGATTTGCTGGATGTTCATGAACAAGTTCAAGATGTTCAGCACTTAGTATTAAAGCACTATTCATTTTCTGAACAAATGACTAGTGTTCATCATCCAAGCTGGGAGAAATAAAAAGTGCAATCAAACATTAAATATGAACACAAAGAAACAAAGCACATTAGATTTCAGTGTTCTTTCACTTTTAATAATCTAAAGTGCTAAGAGCAAGGTAAGTATATTCGCTGTTATTATTATTATTTGTATTACCGTAGTACCTAGGAGCCCTAGTTGTGGACCAGGACCCCATTGTGCTAGGCGCTGTACAAACACAGAACAAAAAGATGATTTCTGCCCCTGTTTTTTAAATATATGAGAAAAGATTCTGCTCTCATTTACATGAATGTAAATCAGAATAACTCCATTGAAATCAATGGAGTAAAGTAATATAAAATGAGTGCATTTCCGAGGAAAATCTGATCCTTTATTTTAACCTGATTTTGGGGACTTGAATCTGCTTTGTTACACTGGTGAACATCCAGACTAACTTCACTGGGAGGTTAGTCCAGATTGACATGGGGTAAATCTGGTCCATCTCTTGAAACAAGAGTGGGATGCAGTGTTTCTGAAACCATCCAACCATAAAACAAAGCAGGCCTAGGAGGTGCATCACAGGTGATGGATGAAAGCATCCCTAGAACTTTTGCATACCCGTACCTTGTTACATCTAGAGCTTTCTGAACTTTTGCCTGCACAGATCCTAGCAAGTCTGCTCCCATTTTCTTAAGTAACTGTGTCAGGAGAACGAACAGCCAATCTTGCAAGTCGTCCTTATGGATGATGATGAAATCTACCAGGGTTTCTAGAAACATGCTGAAAACCTGCAAATAAATGCAAATTTCAAAAAAGGGGAGATTACGTTTTTAATCAGAAATGATCACAAGAGAAAGTCTACAAAGAATCTGTGTTTTAAAATGATTTTTTTATAGACCGTTTTATGAATGGCTATTCTCAGTGAACATGTTAGCACTAGAAATCACTGACATTAAACATCCAGGATGTGCCGTATTAAAATGTCACACTAAACAGATTAAGGAAGAAGGAACAAATACACTTACTCTCTGTTGTGAGTTCCACCGCAAAGCAGGCCATGCAACAAAACAAACCACTCGTTAGTACACATAGTGAATCAATGCTGACTGCTCTGGGTGCAATTTGTCAGTGGATTCATAGATGGCTTATAAAAACTTTTACAACATCTTTCTTTTTTTTTAATCATAGTTTTTTAAATATCATACATCTTGGGCCAAATCCCGTCTCCTTACTCATGTGAGTAGGGACTTTAAAGCCAACAGGTATACTCACATGAGTAAGGATAGCAGGATTAGGTTTGTTTGTTTTTTAGATGTGCATATATGTGTATCCCTTTATGAATTTATGAAATGAACATTTTTTTCTATTCATTTTTCCCTCCCCAAATTCATTGCAATATCTATGGCGCAATCCCAGAAGCCCCCCCAAATGCTAAATGTATTCAGCATGGATGAGCCCCTGGTTAGCAGTGACGGGCCAAATTCTGATCTCAGTTGCATTGGTGGAAATCTGGAGTAATTCACCTGATGTTAAATTTGTGTCATAACATAATGAAGTCAAATTGCAATGAAGTCTATAAAGTCAATGAAGTTACCCAAGATCTACACCACTGTAACCGAGAGCAGAATGTGGTCTAGCGTACAACAGTCTAAAACTTCTCACAAGTTGCAAATGTTGTTGCAAACATAAATAGTCACACCTGACCCTAGCAATGCCACATCAGACAGAATTTTAAGAGCCAAAATGTTGATCTCTTTTGCATGGGAACTGCTAGACAGGATCAGACCAGTGGCCCATCTAGTTCAGTGTCCTGTCCCTAATGGTGGCCATAACTAGATCTTCAAAGGAAGGTCTGCAGTAGGCACATATGGAATAACCTCTCCACACAGGAAGTTTCTGCCTGACCCCCATCAGTTAGTGTTGGTTTACTACACGCCCGGAAGCACTAGGATTTATTAACCTAATTATTTCTTTTAATCCATGCTAACGTAACTGTGGATGTTCTCATCGGGTATATAAATGTCTAACCTTCTGGCCACAACGTATCCCAGATCCCTCAGTGGGGAGATCTGTCCCAAGCAGTATTAACTTTTTCAGAAAAAACTGGAGGGGGATGATATACACGCCCCTGTTCCCACACCTTCCTACCCCTGCTTGCATGGACAGAGTGCCACAGAGTCTGAGAGGGGGGTGGAAAGTACTCGAGACCCCGTTAAAGAAGGAGAGATCGGTAGGTCTATGGAGGGATGATTTTGGCCCACTGCTTGGAAGGATGGTGTTACAAAGATGCCGGAGTGCTCATATGATTAACGTTGCTTTAAATGTAAAGTCATCCTGCAGTTTCCATACTGCTGCTTAATATGTATAAACGGCCATTCCTGCTGTACCAAAGCCATGGCTATTTAGGGCTTCACAGATGTCACTGTGCTCCGTCTCATGGCCACTTACCACAGGAACAGAAATAAAGCCCAGATCCTTCTCTTCCAAGGTCTGGATTCTGCAAGGTGACACGTGCCTTGAAAGGGGCTGGGCATCCAACTCCCAGCAACTTGCAGGATTGAGCCCCTAAAGCCCAGAACCCTACCACTTAAACTAATGCAGGGTCTGTAACATGCGTGTCATCAGTTCCAGTTCCGTCCAGTAGAGTCACAGGCCCAACCACACAATTACCCAGATCCTGACAACATAACTGTACACATTGTAATGGAAGAGAGTAAGCCAAAAATGCATTACCTTGCTGTGAGGGTCAGCAAACATGCGCGTAAAGATCTCACACAGCCGTTTTAATTCGACTCGGCTACAACACACAACAAAACATTATATTAAAGCTAAATCTTTTACTCACAACAGAGTAGACTAGAACTGTCATTGAAAAAAAGACAGAGATCTGGTCTTTTAAATTAGACCTGGTTGACCTAACTTATGTTAGCATATAGCAGCAGTAATTACACTGTTTATAGCAACAGAGGGTATTTAAATCTAACAGAAGTATTGGAGCATAAGCTTTCGTGGGTGAATGCCCACTTCATCAGACGCAAGACACCCACGAAAGCTTATGCTCCAATACTTCTGTTAGTCTTAAAGGTGCCACAGGACCCTCTGTTGCTTTTTACAGATTCAGACTAACACGGCTACCCCTCTGTTACTTTACACTGTTTATGTGTGTCTATACTTTGCTCTTTTGTGTGTGTCTTCACCAGGAGCCTTTGTATGCATTGTACTGTCAATGGGGGGCATTGTCGGATGGCTCCTAAAAGCCAGTAACAGTGGACATAAGCAAACAGTGAACCGAGATAACAACAAAAAAAAGGAGACGGAGTTCTCTGTGGGCAGAATTCTCCAAGGGTCCCTGCTTTGGTAGAGCCAGTTACATAACATTTTTAGTGCTAAAACACCATCTCAAATGTTGCAAAGAATATTGCCCAAATCCTCAGGTCCTTATCTGTCTTCCTTACTCAGGCAAAACTTCCAGCAGAGCCAATGAGAGTTTTGCCTGATTAAAGAACAAATGAAAACAAACGAATAAGCTGGATGCTGGGTTTTTCTGACAACGCTATATTGTCCTCTCAAACTAGAGGGAACGGGTGAATGCAGGGAGAACTCCAGTTCAGGTCAGGATTATAGGCTTCCTTTCTCCACAAAAAGGGTTTCGTCCATAGACCTCCAATCATGCAGATAAAACCAAAACAAACCTCAAAGAGTAGGGAAGGGTACACTAGTAGTCTAGAGTTAGTGTGACCTTTTTAAAGGTAGCTTATTTATAAATAATAGGAGATATTTTCACCCAAACAATGGTATTCTAAGCATAAAAACTGATGCAGATTTTAAAAGAGCATAAGACAAAGATGACAGTCTCCTGAGAAGGAAGAGTTGGATGCAGAGGAAAGCAGTCCTTGGAACACTGCCAAAGCAAGCTGTCAGCTTAATTCAGTGTTGAGACTGCACTGTTTCCAGAGAAACAAGAAAAAAACTCCAAGTGACTGCTCTATAACTCTCGCCTGACCTGATGGGGATTGCAGCTCCCTCTGAATGAACTCCTTTTTATTTCCCTAATGAAATTTATCTCAGACAAGGAATACAGAAGGACAGCTATTCGGAACTTCCCTATTTTCAATGCACACTGACCTAAGGTAATCATATGGGTGCCAAACTAAAATAAACAGCTCAACAACATTTTCTCGGGGGACTTGCTGGCCCCGGCTATATCCAGTGATCTAATCAGGATGAGTTTACAAAAGAAGGACTTTAGAAAATTGTAAAGAAACAGTTAGCGTGGGTAAGTATAATGAAACTCTGATACCATCTTAGACCCCACAACCTTTCCACACACAGAATGCCCACTGAAGATAACGCATGATTAAGGCTGCAAGTCTTTCACGGAGGTCACGGAAGAGCAGTGGTGCCGCAGGCGCCCTGGACGGCCCCCCGCCTGGAGCAGCAGCGATGGGGTAATGGGCCGCCCCCACCCCCGGAGCTGTAGCGGGGCCCCGGGCTGCCCCCCCCACTCAAGAACAGCTGCGACCACCGGAGCCCCCTTCCACCAGAGCAGCAGCATCTGCTGGAGCACACACCCCTTTCCCCAGCACCTAAGATTTAGTTGCGGGTATTTTTAGTAAAAGTCACGGACAGGTCAGTGGCCGTGACTTTTTGTTTATTGCCAGTGACCTGTCCATGACTTTTACTAAAAATACCAGTCACTAAATTGTAGCCTTACACGTGATCAAACCCTATTCAGCACAGAGTACTGAAAAAGGACCCTTAACCAGTAAGTTCAGAAGAGTAAAATATCCCCTCCCGTATTAAACTTGTTATATAAATTAAGACGACATTGCAACCAATCACACTGTGTTTAATTTGAAAATTCTATCCTCTAATAACTTTGGGTGCTTGCACCTATGACTATATGTCCAAATTACTCAAGCAGGCACCATCTGAGCAATCTAAGAAGAGCCCTGAACTACCCTGGAGAGGATAAAATTGCAAATTAAGAGCAAATATAAACATCAGCAGAACTAGAAATAATGTACAATTTTAAAAATGCAATGCAGAGATTTAAAATTAAGATGGTGCAAGTCCTGGTACTGGTTTATAATATATCCAGGATCAGAGCCAAGAAAATCCTGCTACCCTAAGGGAACAGTGGAAGTAGTACAGTTTGATATATTGCAAACCACCAGAACTAGGAACAATAATTTCCTGCAAGAGCTACACAACCAGGGAATCCCCATCACTTGGTGTTCCCAGAGCCTCCTCTTTTGGATTCTCAGTGACCCCATATATGCTCTCACAGATCACAGCCACGTACACATAGGTATCAAAATCAAAATTTTATCCAACCTTTTCACACACATATGTGTGGTGACAATGGGCTGTCACCAGATCCTCATTAAAAATACACTATGTCCGTGGTTTCTCAGCCAGGGGTATGCGTACACCTGGGAGTAGGCAGAGGTCTTCCAGGGGGTAATCAACTCATCTAGATCAGTGTTTCTCAACCTGAGTGTTATGACCCGGGGGGGGGGGAGGCAGAGTCACAGGATAGGTTTAGGGGTGTTGCAAGTACAGGGCCGGCATTAGGGGGTGGCAAACTGGGCAATTCCCTGGGGCCTCACGCCACAATAATAGTGTGCTGTGATACTTTTGTATTTTTATATCTGATTTTGTAAGCAAGTAGTTTTTAAGTGAGGTGAGAATTGGAGTACGCAAGACAAATCACACTCCTGAAAGGGGTACTGTAGTCTGGAAAGGTGGAGAACCATTGCATTATGGTATACCAAAAACAGTGTATATGGGAGAAGCACATTTTAAAACCCTAAAATGACCAAGTTTAAAACGTTTTTACTAGGCCATGAAAAGATGCATTTGTAACCTCAAGTCTACACCTCCATATGTAAACCTCCTAGCACCTCCTACTGAGGTGCTATAGGTGTTCAAATAAATGATTGGAAAATCTTTTTCTAATGGTAAAAGTGTTTTTTTTCCACCCTCTCTATCATCAGTCAACACAACACTGTTCTCAAACACATTTTTGCTTAAACTGCTAATAAGAACAAAACCAAAAAAAAATTATAAGTAACTTTACCCTTAAATGAAATATTTACCCTGCTACCTAGCTAAGGTTGTGGAAATGTTACCCAGACAACTGCCATTTCTAAATGCATTTAAAACACTTGTTTATAATATTCCAAAGAGCAGATTTTTTTTTTAAATGAAACTATTTGTTAACATGTTCTCTTCAAGTCAGCAAGTCCATAATAAAGCCACATGCAAACAACTTGCTTACAAATACTTTCACCTTAAACGAAATCTCAGTCAGTCCAAACACTCTTCATATTCTTACAAACATTCTTCTACCCCATTATAAGCTACGTTGTCTATATTAGGCTCAAATACAATTTCCACTCTAACAACTGTAAGCAGTCACAAATAAATTTATCTAACATACAGAACTACTTGACCCCATTTTTAACATAAACACCTTGCTTCCTTTCACTTATGTGGCTAGCATTTGCTTCACTGAAAAGCTGCTAAGCAGTTTGTGATCAAATGCACATACATGAGGTATGCAGCTAAACTTCCTGAAATATCTGAGTCACATGTGAAAATTGTAGCACACTCTGGTTGTATCAACATTAGCATTTTGGCAGGAAATCTCTCACCATTGCACAGCCACAGACAGCAGCAGTGGGACTGCTCAAGTAGATGGGGACAAGCTGAGAGAAGTGCTCACTAGTAAAGGAGCTTGTATCCTGCCTATACTACTGTTCCAACATGGCTACCACCAGGTAGAAGCTCTATTGAAAAACACTGGTGCAGGCAAGGCCTCAAAGGAAATGGCTACACTGCAGCTAGGAGCATGTCTCCCAGCCTGGGTAGACAGAGTCACACTAGCTGTGCTCGAGCCAGCGTGTTGAAGATAGCCATATGGACATAGTGGGAGGTGACAGCTTGGGCTAGCCATCCAAGCTCAGGCCCAGAGGGTCAGGTGGGCTTGGACTTTGGCCACTAACCTGAGCCACCATCCCTCTGCAATATCCACATCGCTATCTTTAATGCACTAGCTTGAGAGGAGCTAGTGTGAGTCTATCCCACCAGGTCTGGGAGGCTTGCTCCCAGAGGCAATCTAAGGCCTATGAAAGACAATATGTGTCAGCACAATATGAGATAAAATAGTGAATTCTGACTGCACCATAGCAAAACAACACTAATGACCACCATTACAAAGCTAGGAAGATCACCTCAGCGTCCTCTGGCTCTTCAATAAATTCTGAAGGCCTATGAGCCCTTCTTTTCTCTCCGACCAGTTGGAACTGGCACAGTGGTTTAGGACCTCAGCCACATCTTCAGTTTGTCGTAGGTAGTGTGGAATGCCTCCATTCCTAGAGCCATATGAGCGCTCGGAGCAAGCACTCGATGCGTCGCTATTAGCATCATCATCAGAATACATCCCATACGGCTCATATCTTCTTCTCACTGGCTTTTTCTGGAGGAGGAAAAAAACCCACATTAAGTAAAGTGTTTATAGTTATATTAAAGCAGAGGAAAGGATGCTCTGCCTATATTGCCAGTGAAGGTAGTTTGAGGCTATTGTTATAGTGGCACAAAGGTAAAATGTCACGGAGCACCGGCCTGTTTATCTTACTCACTCTAGCAAGAAGAGTCCCATTGATTTTGAAGGGAATACACAAGTGACTGATACTCCAACAAAATACAATAAATGATCCAATAGAAATGTTAGCTAATGGCTGATGAAATAATGTGTTGCTTTTATTGAAAATAGTGGAGATTTCCATGGTTACAGATTGACAATACAGTTTTTACTTCAAGCAAATTCATTAAACATGAAGGTGATTCTGCAAATAAACATTCTGATGGAATAATAACGAGAGAGAGAGAAGGAGATAAGAGCTAAAGGACCATTTCTGCTCTGTCATACGCTGGTGTGAATCCACAGTAATTCCACTGCAGTCAGTGAAGTTACTCCAGGTTCAGACTGCTTTACAAGAAAGCACAATTTTGGCCCCTTTTGTGTTAATTTGGGCTAGGGTTTTCAAATGCACTTAAGGGAGTCAGACATCCAAATCCCATTCATTTCAATGGCTTTGGGGTTCCTAATTCCCTTATGCACCTTAGAAAATTCTAGTCTTAACACGTAGCAAGAAATATCAGCATAATTTTGACAATGTGCCAAATTTAACCCTATGGAATAAACACTAGAACAAACCTTAACAGGATACGACTGACTATAAAACATAACAGAAAAGGTCACCTATATTCTTAGATGATTGCTACAGAATTCCTTTCTGAGGGCCCAATCCTGCAGTAGTTGTGTTTGCAAAGCCAATGAGATTATTTTGCTTTCACTAGGACTTCAGGGTTGAGCCATTCTGAATCAGCTCGATTGCAGCATCATGGGGGGGGGGTTGCAACAGGAAAAAAAAGGTGGGAAGTAGAAATAAAAAGTCAAGAAAGCACTAGTACCTTGCTCCTGGAGTCTCCTAACAGCTGTAGGCAGGAAAATATTGAAGGGTGGGAAAAAGCACAGAGAATTATGTCAGAAGCTTATGTAGGGATTGTTCTTGCAACAAAAACGTACAGCAAATGCGTCCTAGCAAATTAAAAACACAGTTTAAGCAAAAGAAAAGAAAAATGGATATATAATGTCTGCCTTTACTTTCCTACTGCTGCTCCTATGCCATACTCCTAATGCAGACAAAGTTCCCATTACAGAGTTTACCTGCATAAAGAATATGGGATCGGGATTATACCTTTCCTAATGGCTTCTAACAGATGTAGATCTACATACACCAGCTCTGTGTTTTACATCTCAGGAAAGCTGCTCTAACTAAATACCAATTTTTGAAACAGTCAGTTGTCCATTAAAGAAGGAAACATATTACAGAGTCTTGAACAGAGACTCTAATGCCAGGAAACAATTATATACAGTATAGCTTCATTTAACCAAACTCCAATTAACCAACATCTCTTTTTTGCTCCTGGAACTGTACAAATACCTTGGATGTCTCTTAAAGCTCAGCTTGTTTAAAGCCAGCTGGCTGGCTCCCCTTGCATCTGAAATCCCATTTACCCAAAGGTTTCACGTGTTATTTGAGATTTTCAGATAAACAGAGTTGTACTATATATAGATTCAAAGTATGACCATTTGGACAGACAGACAGTCTGCCTCCCTGGGTCAATTTCTGCTCTCTCACACATAAGCATGGGAATCAATGGGAGCTGCACACATGTACTAGAGATCAGAACTTGATCCACAGTGTTTAGTTCAAACTTGCTTATTGGGATAATGCCATCTTCTGAGAAGCTCCTATCCTTCCCTAACACAACGAAAAGAATATTCCTTCTGTATACAAGGGGGTTGGCTAGAAGCTGGCATTGCACGGCTCTCCCACAAGGAAGCCAGAACTGGCTTTGTAAAGTGCCTGCTGTGAAAGGATTGTCTAAAGAGCCTATGAGCGAGAAGAGCAGAATGGGGCACTGGGGAGGAGGGGGACTACAGGAGGAAGTTGCTCCCCTGCAGTAATAGGCGTTCAGATACTGATCAGACTAGATTTTAAAGTTACAGCTTCTGGAAAGAGAATATTATATACTGATGCTTTTCAAACCTAACAAGCCTCAAAGTGGTAAGAGGGTAAGAGGATACACAGGGACTGCCCTTAAAACTTTCCAGGATTGCCTTCGATTATGTTACTACAATATATGCCGTATTCCTTACCCTGTACTTCCCTATATTAAGTATAGGGTATGCTGTATCTTGTGGAGTAAGTTATCTAGTAAACCACATGAAACATTTAAAATGAGCATTGGCCTGCTAAACCCAGGGTTGAGAGTTCAATCCTTGAGGATTTGGGGATTTAGTTGGGGATTGGTCCTGCTTTGAGCAGGGGGTTGGACTAGATGACCTCCTGAGGTCTCTTCCAACCCTGATATTCTATGATTCTATGACAATCCAGAGTGACTGTACTGGCATTCAACCTCGGAGACCAAAATGAAAATTTGGCCCACAAAGTCTTTAATTTACTTAATGAACACAATACAGTAACTCCTCACTTAACGTTGTAGTCATGTTCCTGAAAAATGCGACTTTAAGCGAAACGATGTTAAGCGAATCCAATTTCCCCGTAAGAATTAATGTAAATGAGGGTGTTAGGTTCCAGGGAAATTTTTTTCACCAAAGACTATATTATATATATATATACACACACACACACACACACACAGAGTATAAGTTTTAAACAAACAACTTAATACTGGCACACAGTGACGATGATTGTGAAGCTTGGTTGAGGTGGAGTCAGAGGGTGGGATATTTCACTTACTGCTAAATGATGAACTAGCAATTGGCTGAGCCCTCAAGCGTTAACTCTCTCACTCTACAAGGCAGCAGGAATGGAGGGAGATATGAGCATTTCTCCTTTAAGTACACTGCCTTGTTAATTAGATCAGCTTGCTGAGACCGTAGCTGCTGCAAGCTCCCTCCGTCCTGAGCCCTGGTGTGTCCCCCCTCTTCTATTGAAGATGGGGTAAGCGGGGAGCAGGGGTGAGGGGGACACCCTGACATTAGCCCCCCTCTTCCTTCCCTCCCCCCCCGCACAGCAAGCAGGAGTCTCGGGGAGCAGCTCCAAGGCAGAGGGCAGGAGCAGCACATGGCAGTGGGGAGAGGGACAGCTGCAATTGCTAGCCTGCTGGGCACCTGCTGCACAGGGAACTTAGGGGAGCGGGGAGCTGATATGGGGGCTGCCGGTCCACCCTGGTTCCAAGCTCCCACCAGCTAGCTGCAACGGGCTGCTCTTCCTGCAAGTAGCAGACAAAGCAGGCGGCTGCCAAACAACGTTAGAAGAGAGCATTACACAACTTTAAACGAGCATGTTCCCTAATTGATCAGCAACGTAACAACGAAACAACACTAACCGGGACGACTTTAAGTAAGGAGTTACTGTATTTAGACCACTGACTGCAATGGCACAGCCTACATTCTAACACCTTGTTTCTACATTCTATTGAATTCATACTTTAATAAAAGTTTTCTGAAAGAGGGATCTTAAATCAGATCAGCAGTTCTCAAATTAAATTGCTGGTGGTGTGTGATGATTCGGAGTTGTTATGTGATCACAAATGGGAAGGAAAACAGTCTGAGCAATAGTGAATAAGAGGGGAGGTGGTCTGCCCAATTGCAAATGGGGAAAGAGATGTCCATGAGACACTCTCTCTAAGGGAATGTGGTCCACAATATGGAAAGGTTTGAGAACCCTGCATCAGATACTTCAAGAAATCCTTTCATCATCCCACCAGCTTAGGTCTCTGGAATTACCCTGTATAACACACAGGACACAGTGGTACCCACATTACCCTGCACAACGACTGCTACTCTCATTCTGCCTTCCCTCGAAAAAAAAGAAAAACGTATGCAGAAAAATCAGGTAAATGTGGCAAAAGGTTAATGTATGCTTTCGGGATGAACTGCAGAAATTCGCTGGATTCTGCCACAGGAGAACTTTCGCTGCAATAAAATTCAGGAATGCATGGGAATTTAGCTAATGCTTGGAAAGGGAAGTAACTCAGCAGGGATAAGGGAAATCAAGGGAGATTGAGATAGAAAATACAAAAACTGCCTTTGCTTCTAGGGGCACAGTAAATAAACACATTTCAGTTTTACGCTAATATTGAACGAGAGATAAGCCAAGCTATTAGCTGTTCAAAGTGTTCAACCAGATGCCAGAAATGCTGGGCAAATCCCAAAAAAACTGCAATGGGATCTAATGTCCACACAGAGCAGACAGGATCCAGGTTTTTTAGGGTTTTGCCCAAAACATCCCCATGCAATTTACTGTCTAGGGCTTAGTTAGGACCCTAGTCCTTCCAGGCACTGAGCATCCTCAATTCCCTCTAGTGCTCAGCACCTCACAGAATACCCTCCTCAAAAATCAGATTAAAGACAAAGGGCTGATTTAACCTATTCCTCATCAGTGACATTAACGCATCTCTGCTTGTTGGATAATAACTGTTGAGGATTAACTAACTTCCATAATGAAATGTGGCATCGGTGCCAATACATTCAAATGCAAAACACAATGATCAAACATCGCCACAGTGTCGACATTGGCACATTTAAAACAACGGCTATTAAAAAAGAGAACATACGTACAGGTAATTTTAAGCCACTTTCTGGTGTCGGTAGCATTTTGTATTTTTCCTCTTACCAGTGCATCAGCCACAGCAGCCTCCAGATCTGTGCTTGAGCTCAGGACTCGCATGGCATTCACAGAAGCAGGCATCCTGCCTGGCTGGCCAAGTCCAAACCGGTCTGCACAAAAGACAACATTGAAAGAGATTGTTAAGTGAATTCACATTCACTCTGAATCCTAATAAGATGTCTGGCCAGGAACGCCCCAACGAAAGGCTTCGGGAACCCACAGTGCCATTTCATGAAATGTTATTTTATCCGTCACTCTGACACATTTTGCCGCTATGGTATATAAAACAAAAATACTACAAACAAACTCCAGTACTTAAGCTACCAGAGACACTATGTTTGATTTTCATAGACATATTTTACTGTTGTGAGATGGGTGGGAAAGGAATCTATTTTTCCTTTTATTTTCCTCTCTCTCTCTCTCTCTTTTTAAATTAACTCTTTTCTACTTTTATTTTGGTTTCATGAGTCACACATATATGGGACCCAATCCTGCTATTATCAAAATCAACTGTCAAACTTTCCTTGACTTCTCTGAGGCAGAATCAGGTCTACAGTTCCATTACTCACTAATTCTATTAAGTGCTGATATTGCAACTCTCTCTCTGAGCAGTCCCTACTCACAAGAGTCATTTGACTGAAATCAAATCTTGAGCTCTTACATATTAAGTTTTCAAGACTTGACAAACCACTAGATGAGGTTTTTTCCTCTCATGTGGGAAGAAGAACGTATAAAAAGGGAGAAACATTTATGATGTGATCATCTCTGAAGTGGTTCCAACTTCATCTTTGTTGTTAAATGGCTCTTAAAGGAACTGTCTAAAATTTGCCTTGGCTGAAACTTGGCCTCAATACTGTATCACAAATCAACATGCAATTTCTTTCTTTGGCAAGTAAATAAAGGGTCTGATCAGGGTTGCCACCCATCCGGGTTTTACCTGGACAGTCCGGTTTTTGGCTTGTGTCCAGATGCCATTTAGGGTTGCCAGGTGCCTGGTTTTCAACCGGAAAGTGCAGTCAAAAAGGGGACCTGGCAACCCTACAAGGCACCCGAACCAAAAGTCCGGTTACTGTGGGGCGGGGGGAAGCATTGGGTCATTAACCTGTACCAGCCCCAGCTCAGCTTGAGACGATCCAGCAAGCGACCGGGGTAGATGGGAAGAGGAGTGAGCGACGGGAGCAGGGCCTTGAGGGGAAGAGGTGGGGAAGGAGGCGGGCCCTGGGGAAGAGGCGGAGAAGAGATGGGGCCTCAAGGGAAGAGGTGGAGCAGGGGCAGGGCCTTGGGAGGAAAAAATGGTTTCCTACCTTTCATAACTGTTGTTCTTTGAGATGCGTTGCTCATTTCCATTCCATTCTAGGCGTGCGCGTGCCCACGTGTGCGGCTGTCAGAGAATTTTGCCTTAGCGGTATCCATAGGGCCGGCTGTGATGCCCCCTGGAGTGCCGCACACATGCCGTGGTATATCAGGCGCCGCTGGCCCTGTGCCCTCTCAGTTCCTTCTTGCCGATAACTCCGACAGAGGGGCAGGAGGGCGGGTAACGGAATGGACACGAGCAACACATCTCGAAGAACAACAGTTACGAAAGGTAGGTAACCGTTTTTTCTTTTTCAAGTGCTTGCTCATGTCAATACCATTTTAAGTGACTCGCAAACAGTATCAATGGAGGTGGGCTCAGAGTTCACCATCGTGCAGCTTGTAGCACAGCTCTGCCGAAGCCAGCGTCATCCCAAGCTTGCTGGGTCAGCACATAGTGTGAAGCGAATGTGTGGACAGAGAACCAGGCTGCAGCCCGACAGATCTCTTGGATCGGCGGCTAAGTGAGGAAGGCTGCCAAGAATGCCTGCGCCCTAGTCGAGTAGGTCGTCACTATCGGCAACGGGGGCACCTTTGCTAGCTTGTAGCAGTAGCGGATACAGGCCATGATCCACGATGATATTCTTTGGGCAGACACAGGGCAACCTTTCATCCTGTCTGCGATCGTCACGAACAACTGCGTTGACTTAAAGAATGGCTTCGTTCTGTCTATGCAGAAGGCCAGAGCACGACTGACGTCCAGGTTATAGCAACCTGCGTTCTTCATCTGTCGCGTGGGGCTTAGGACAAAGAACCAGCAAGTATATGTCTTGACCAGTATGGAACTGGGAGAGGACCTTGGGCAGAAAGGCCGGGTGCAGACACAACTGAACCTTGTCTTTATAGAAGACCACGTAAGGTGGTTCAGACATTAGCGCTCTGATTTCGGACACTCAACGGGCCGACGTTATGGCGACTGGAAGGAAATCTTCCAGGAGAGAAGCAGTAAGGAACAGGAAGCTAGGGGCTCGAAGTGGGGACCCATGAGCCATGACAGCACAAGATTCAGGTCCCAATGGGGTACCAGATCCTGAACATGCGGGTAAAGGCGCTCCAGGCCCTTCAGAAACCATGCCATCATAGGGTGGGTGAAGACCGACCTGCCTTGAAATGGCGGAAGGAACGCCAAAATGGCCGCCAGGTGCACCTTGACCGAAGATAGTGATAGGCCCTGGAGCTTAAGGTGCAGCAAATAGTCCAGGATGTCCTGCAGAGGGGCCTCCACAACACGGATGTGACAAGGCTTCCTGCTGCCCAGCAGGACGTCCTGGACACCGGCGGAACACTGTCGTTCATCTCCACTCAGCCACGCAGCAGCCAGGCTGTCAAGTGCAGCGTCGCCAGGTTCGGGTGCACCAGATTGCCATGGTTCTGGGACAGAAGATCTGGCCGAAGAGGCAGCTGCAGGGGGGAGCTGTCAACAGATTCAGCAGCATGCCAAACCAGTGCTGACATGGTCACAAGGGGACCACAAGGATGACCTTGGCCTTGTCTTGCTTTAGCTTCAGGAGGACCTTGTGGATCAAGGGCACCGGTGGGAAGGCGTATATCATCACTCCTGACCACGAGATCAGAAAGGCATCCAACAGGGAGCCCTTGTCCCTGCCCTGCAGAGAGCAGAACACGTGGCACTTCCTGGACGCAAACAGGTCTACCTGGGGACTCCCCCACTTGTGGAAGATCAGGCTGACTACTTCTGGATGGAGCAACCATTCATGGTGAGACGAGAAGGTTCTGGTCGGAGAACAGGCCGACACCATCAAATGGGAGGTCCTGAATAGAGGCCTGCATCTCCTGGGACAGGCCTGTGGTCTGGAGCCAGGAACTGCACCTCATAACCACTGCTGAGGCGACCACCCAGGCAGCCGAATCGGCTGCATCCCAGGCTATTTGGAGTGAGCACCGAGCCACCGCAGTGCCTTCTTCCACCAGGGTTGCAAACTCCTGGGCCACATCCTGGGCCATGGAGTCTTTAAACTAGGGGAGGGAGTCCCACAAGTTAAAATTGTAATGGCCCAAGAGGGCCTGGTGGTTCACCACCCGAAACTGGAGGCTGGCCGTTGAATAAATCTTGTGACCAAGCAAGTCCAACCGCTTAGCATCTTTATTTTTGTGGGTGGAACTGGTGGGGCCCTGCTTATCTTTTTCGTTGGCCACAGACACGACCAACAATCCTGGTGGCGGGTGGGTATATAAGTACTCAAACTCTTTTGCCGGGATGAAGTACTTTTTCTCCACTCTTTTAGACGCAAGCTGAATAGAGGACGGGGTTTGCCAGATCGACTTGGCAATGTTCAAGACACTTTCATGCACCGGGAGTGCAACCCGGGCTGGGGTGGCCGCCGAGAGCACATTGAACAATGTGTCCATCTGCTCCTCCATCTCCTCTGCTTTGAAGCCCAAGTTCAAAGCCACCCTAAGGAGCAGAGCCTGATGCTCCTTGAAATCATCCAGTGGGCTAGCTGTGGAGGGCCCCACCACCGCCCCATCCGGGGAGGATGATTGGACCACCAAGGGAAGCCCGCTGGCATCTTCCCCCGATGGGGAGGGTGGGCACCAGCTCCTCACCCGCGATGGTCACCAAAACATCCTGCATCGAACCCAGTGCCGGCGGTGGCTCAGGCAGAGGCTTCAGCCTGTCCGATGCAGTGACCGAGGTTTGGCAAGAGTGGGGCAATGGCATAATAGGAACCCCAGAGGCGTTCCAATAAGGCTATTAGGTCGTCCATTGACCCTGCTGCCAGGCCAGCCCTGATGCCGCAGACGCTCCCTCCAGGGCCCAGTCCCATTGCTGCCTGGGTGAGGGACCGAACTGCGTCACCGATCCAGAGAAGTCGTTGCCCTCCAGTGACCATGGAGGGGCCGTCGTGGCCTTGGTCTGGCAGCTAAACGTTGCTGCCGGTGACCAGGAGCGTTCCGACTGGTGCCGGGAGTTGGGAAAGCGGCATCATATCAGGGAGCAGCCTCAAGGTCTCGGCGTTGGCAACCAGCAACGTGACGTGGATCGGTGCCAAGGGGATCGTCTACGCCTGGCAGAGCTTCAGCGCGAAGACCAAGAGCGTGACGACCTAGCGCTCTGCCTTGGCTCCAGAGATCGATGGCGCTTGCTCATCCTGTGAGAGGCCTTACCAGTGGTCTTGTCCTCGTGGGTTCCATTGCCGAACACGGTGCTGGCTGCAGCGGGAGCTCCCTTGTCTCTGCAGGCGCTGAGAGCTGAGCAGGCGTCGACAGCACCGTCAGCTTTGACCCTGTACTGCTCACCGGAGTCGGTGGTGGGTTCATTCGGGTGGAGGCACTTCCCTGGCTGGAGCCCTTGTGCAGGTCCGGAATGGGCATAAGGCCCAAACAGGGTCCTTTGCCCAGAACGCCTTTATCAGGCTTGCCCGGTGCCATCTTCTTCGGCTTTGTTTTCGGCACCAGGGACGGGGAACGGTGCCTGGAGGAGTCCAGTGCCAGAGGTACGCTGTGCACGAAGGCTGAAGGGCTGGATGTCGTTTCAGACCAAGCCGGCTTCGAGGCTGGGTGCAGGGCTGCCTGCATCAGGAGGGCCCTGAGACGAATGTCGCGTTCCCTCCGTGTCTGAAGACGAAAGTTCTTACAGATGCGACAACGCTCCTTCACATGGGACTCCCCAAGGCACTGCAGACAACTATCATGAGGGTCACTAACAGGCATAGGTCTGTTACACATGGAGCAGGGCTTAAAACACAGAGAATGAGGCATGCCCCGCCTGGGGCAAATTCTCCCCTGGGACTTA